GTTGAGGGTGTAGAAGTGGAAACCCTTGGGGCCGGGCGTCCTGCTCTTGACCTCCTTGACCTGCTCGACGAGCTCGCTGAGGATGTCGACACCGACGTGCTTGACCTTCTCGTCGTCACCCTTGGCCGCGTCCAGTCGAGCCATGAGGTTGTCGGGGATCTTGGCGTGGCTAAGCTTGGTAGTCCGCTTGATCATTTGGTAGCTCTGGATGGGCATCAGGCCGGGGAGGAGGATGATGTCCTTGAAAGCGCCGCTGGGGTGCTCCTTCAAGGTCTTTTCAAAGTTTTCGTAGGCCTTGATGTCGAAGAAGAGCTGGGTCATGATGAAGTCTGCGCCGGCCTGGACCTTGTCAACCAGGTACGGGAGGTCGTGCTCGAAGCTCTGTCCCTGGGGATGGCTCTCATCTGCGTGTCCCTCTGGGTAGGCTGCGACTCCTATGCAGAAGTAGTCGCCGTAGTTTTTGCGAATGTACTTGACCAGGTCGACGGCCCAGACGAAATCCTCGGCATCGTCAGTCTCAGAGTCCTCAGTGTCACGGTACTCGTTCTTTCGCGGCGGATCACCTCGCAGGGCGAGGATGTTCCGGATACCCAGGGCCTTGGCATCCTCCAGGGCCTTGTCGATGAGCTTACGGCTCATGTTGGTGCATGTAAGATGGAGACAGGTGGTGAGGCCCAGCTCTCTCTGGCATATCTCGGCCAGCTCCAGAGACTTTGTCGAGGTAGATCCGCCGGCTCCCCAAGTGACGTTGACGAAGAGAGGCCGCAACGCCCTCTCCATTCTGTCCAGACGGTCACGCAGATTAGAAAGTCCCATGGCCGTCTTGGGTGGGAAGAACTCCAAGGAGAAGTAGTTGGCGTCTGCCGGCAGAGCGGCGATCTTATCCGTGATCTTCTCCATCGTGAGGGCGACGAGTTGTAGCTCGTGTACTTTGAAATTGATGCTTGAGATGAGAGGTTGTAGTTTTGACGCGCCGTCCTCCTTAATTGTGCGTTTAGTGAAAATATTGCTCGGCGTTTAAAACCGTTTGAGATTCCTTTGTCGATATCAGACCGCCACGGAGGGGCAGGGGCGGGGGACGAGTCTTGGAATTTGATACCGCCTAGTAACGTGGGGAGCTTGGGGATAAGTAATGAGCAGATGGGCAAGGGGGGTTCACAGAAGACTCAGTAGAACAGAGCTCCTTGTCTCAGGGGATCGAATGTGACGTGATTGGCTTGCTTGCGCTGTCGTCATTCCTCTAGAACAAATTGGATGTGCACCCACGAAGATATTCAAAGGCAAAGACGCGGGACATTGAAAATGATTTTGGCGGGGCAAGTTCTTTTTGGGAGATAGCAGAACGCACTGTACCACCGACTTCGGATAAGGCGCCCAAGGTGCGGCTAGGCGCGGTATACACAGTGTTAGAAGCCGCTTGAACGGTTTTTAGTTATTCCGCCGCCCCCTTCTTTCAGCGCTCTCGTCCGTTGCCCTTGGAGAAACCCCATCTTTGTTCGCAACCTCTATGCACCAGTCCAACGTTTCCGGAAAGGTAACCTCTATTTAATTTCCCATTACTACCTTGCTCAAGGCAAGAATCGTCATGCATCACAAATCCCGAACATTGAAACCCCAATCACGACAGAGCCCCGTGCCATGGTGTTGGTCCAGCACTGTCACACCTTCCTTCATAGATGATATGTCCCAGGGGTGTGCGGAACGAATGACGTTCCCCTGCAGGGCCACCTGTCAGTCTGCCACTAAAATTCCGCAGGGTAGGGGCGGAGATGCAGGGGTCCAGAGAGCTCTCCGTTTTTGATGGAGCTGCACGGCAGCTGCAAACGCGACCACCGCTTTCTTCGCTTCAACCCGCGATAGCGTGACGCCGTTGCATGACTCTAAATTTGCTGTCTTTTGCTTCCTCCACCAACGACCACTACCTACCTACCTACCTTACCCTGCCCAACGACCATGAAAATACCATACCAATGCAATTGATCCACGCGAAACATGTTGGCCGCCTCTGGTCCAGTCGGTCCATCGCGACCTTGGCGAAGAATGCACGACCATCCCCGGCTCTCGTAGCTCTTCGACAGGCTCCGTCTTTCGCAAGGCTGTGCCTAGCTCAAGCGACGCAACGACGGAGCTATGCCGATATCAAGCTCGACTTCACCGCTCTCGACAAGAAGTGGCGTCAGAAGTGGGATGCCTCGAAAGCTTCTACGGCGAACGATGACCCCAGCAAGCCGAACCAATATGTGCTTCCGATGTTCCCATACCCCTCTGGTACCTTGCATCTCGGCCACCTGCGCGTATACACAATTGCCGACGTTCTTGCTCGCTATCACACGATGAAGGGTTCCCGCGTGATGTTGCCAATGGGATGGGATGCATTCGGTCTTCCGGCTGAAAACGCTGCCATCGACCGTGGAATCGCACCTGCGACCTGGACCAAGACCAATATTGCTAAGATGAAGGAACAACTGGAGGTCATGAATGGCAGCTGGGATTGGGAGAGGGTTTGTTCCCCAGCTCGCCATCTCTACTATAGCTGACACGATGTCTCTTAGGAACTGACTACCTGCGACCCCAACTTCTACAAACATACCCAAAAGATTTTCTTGATGATGCTCGAACGTGGCCTCGCCTACCAAACCGAAGCAGAGGTTAACTATGATCCGGTCGATATGACAGTACTTGCCAACGAGCAAGTTGACGCCAATGGATGCTCTTGGAGATCCGGTGCCAAGGTCGAGAAGCGCCAGCTGAAGCAGTGGTTCTTCCGCATCTCTGAGTTCAGGGACGCATTGCTGAAGGATTTGGATACACTTGCCCAGAACGACGCTTGGCCCGAGAGGGTCTTGGCCATGCAGAAAAACTGGCTCGGAAAATCTACTGGCGCCGTTATCAAGTTCCCGGTCATGGCCATGGGCCACGATGTCCACGCAGCTATCGAGGTCTTCACGACGCGGCCGGACACCTTGTTTGGGGTCCAGTATCTCGCCCTTGCCTCAACCCACCCGATCGTGACTTCATTAGCGAAGGCCGACCCCGAGCTTCAAGCTTACTTAGATACTCTACCCGCATTGCCTAAAGACTCTAAGGTCGGTTATATGCTGCCGCACGTACGGGCTATCAACCCGCTGGCATACCACGAGCAGACTCCCGACGACACCAAGAAATCCATCCCTGTGTACGTTGCGCCCTATGTTCTTGGCGACTACGGCGAAGGCGCTGTGATGGGTGTTCCCGGTCATGATCTGCGGGATAACGCTTTCTGGAAGGAGCATCACTATGATGAGCCCGTGAGGTTTGTGTTGGCGGCTTCGGAAGACGAGTCAACTTCCGCAATTGCGAACGAACCTTTCGTCGAGCATGGGGTCATGACAGCAAATAGCGGTCCTTTCAGGGGTAAATCCTCCACCGAGGCGGGCCGGATGCTCATCGGCATCCTTGAGGCGGCAGACTTGGCTAAGCCGGTTGAGAAATGGAGATTGAGAGACTGGTTGATTAGTCGTCAGCGATACTGGGGAACGCCTATTCCTGTAATTCACTGTGGCTCCTGTGGCCCAGTGCCTGTTCCGGATGATCAGCTGCCGGTCAAATTGCCCGACGTTAGTCATCACTGGACAGATGGGAAGGCTGGCAACCCATTGGAGAGAGCCGAAGACTGGGTGAATACTAGCTGCCCCAAGTGTGGCAGTCATGCAAAGCGAGACACCGACACCATGGACACCTTCGTCGACTCAAGTTGGTACTACGCGCGCTTCGTGGATCCTCACAACACATCACAGCCGCTCTCTGTTGAGGCGGCAAAATCACTGCCGGTGGACCTGTACATTGGTGGTATTGAGCATGCCATTTTGCATCTCCTATATGCCAGGTTTATCTACAAGTTCCTGGCTACAACAGAACTGTTTCCTGCTTCAGGCGAAGCTGACTCAGTCCACGAGCCATTCAAGAGACTAATTACACAGGGTATGGTGCACGGCAAGACGTACACCGACCCCAAGTCAGGAAGGTTCCTGAAGCCAGATGAGGTTGGTTTGGAGGACCCTTCGAACCCCAAAGTTGTAGCCACAGGGGCTACGGCAGGTGTGTCATTTGAGAAAATGTCCAAGTCCAAGTACAACGGAGTCGACCCGACCGAGTTCATATCCAAGTACGGCGCTGATGCGACCCGAGCTCACGTGCTCTTCCAAGCGCCTGTGGGCGACATCCTTAACTGGGACGAGGACAAAATCGCCGGAGTCACGCGTTGGCTACATCGGCTTCATGACCATGCGGCCAAACTTCAGGAGTTGTCGGTCGAAGAAAACCCCACCGTGGCTTACCTTGAGGAGCGCTCAAACAGTTTGTCTTCTCTGGGCGACAAGGAGCTCGCTGTCTGGGACGCTGACGCCGCCATTTGGAGAGCGGTTCAAGTAACGATTGGTTCCATTACCCAGTCCTACGAGACTGTCTATCCGATGAACACCATCGTTTCAGACCTTATGAGTTTGACTAATACCCTCCAGGAGAACACTGGAGCGAGCCCTCTTGTCCAGAGGGAAGCCATGTGTGTTCTCCTTCGGATGATGGCCCCAATTGCACCAGCGTTCTCTGAAGAGTGTTGGAGCCTCTTGCATCCAAAATCAGGTTCCATCTTCGAAGAAACCAGTTTCCCTGCGCAAGACAACACGCTGTCCCTGTTGAAGCCGCGTAAGCAGTCTGTGGCTATTCAGATCAACGGCAAGCTGCGCGGTGTTGTAGAAGTGCCCAACCCCCCTTCTGGTCTGGAGGGAGAGGCATTGCGCGACTGGATGGTCGCTGAGGTTCTCAAGTCTGATGAAGGCAAGACCAAGTTTACTGAAGGTCAATTCGATGTCACATCCCCGAGGAGAGTCATCTTAGCTCGTGGCGGCAAGACGATTAACTTTGTAGTCTAGAGGTGTAAAAGTATGTGAGATACCCGGTGGTTTGTACAACATAGAAGCCGAAACAAAAAAGAAATCAACATCACTCAAAACAAGTTAACTTGCCTGCCAGCCATGTCTACACTTTTTCATTTTAAGACAATCTCAAGTATATCCGCGTTCGCCTTGAAGCTTCCCCCACAGATATCTTAGGGACGGAATTGCAATTCAAAGTCTTACTCGAACTCTCAACACCTGCAGCATTTCCAACACTTCGAAGTGTGGCGATTGCTCTAAATTTACGCTCTCAACTAACTTCTGCTCTCTTCGCGTTGCTATGCCTCAAAATCTACATCATACCCATGAAGCTCCTTGTATGCGCCTTTTTTGTCGTGTGAGTCTCTAAGTCATCTTCTCGTCTATTAATTTCTTTTCATGCGATCTTGGTAACAATCAATTCACCCTCGGCGCCCTCGACTTCCAGGAAAGACCCAGTCTCGAGCTTCTTCTTCCACTTGCCACTCTCGTAACGTCCCAAAATCATAGTCATACGCAGCAAGGCTCCCTCACTGGAGGCGTGCTCGGCTCCACCCTCTGCGATTGGCGTAAAGGTCCACCGACCAAAGGCCCAGTTGAGAATGTAGCGAGATTTGGGATGCGGTGGTGTGGGGACCTGAGAGTCCTCGTCAGAGTCTCTCACCGTCGACGACGCGGTTAAGACAGCCTTTATGCGGTACACCTCGTCTTTCGGCGCGGCGCGCAGCAGCTTCTGCAAGCTGTCAGCGTTGACAGCCGCATCCTTGGGACCCTTGAGTTCGATAGAGAGAACCTCGACCTCTGACTGGTGGTCGTGCGAGTGGTCCTCCCCCTTGTGGTCGTGATCATGTGTGTGCTCCTCCGTAAGACCCTGCGCGAGACCACCGTCCACGCCAAAGACCAGCTCAGCGCCAACCCAGCCTTTCTTGCTCTTGACCCAGGGAATATCCACCTCGAGGTCGCCCACTCTGTCGAGAACCTCATCGAAGCGGTCCTCAGAGCACAGCTCCCACTTGTTGAACACAATCAAGTCCGTGTACTTTGCCTGGATGCGCGCCGTGTAGCTCGTATCCTCGTACCCCTTCCAATTCTCCGTGTCAATGACGCTGATGACGCCGTCGAGGGTATAGTTGCCCGTCTCGCGCGCGAGGCGGTTGACCTCGAGGGCCAGCGTCGCGGGGAAAGCAGAGCCGCTCGTCTCGATGACGATGCGGTCCGGGCGGACGGTGGCGTGGAGCTCGGCGAGGGCGACGCTGAGCTGGCCGACGAGGTTGCAGCAGATGCAGCCGTTGAGGAGCTCCTGCACGCCCGAGATTGCGTTGGAGGAGGCCAGCTGGGAGTCGACGGCCAGGTCGCCGAATTCGTTCTTCAGGAGGGCGAGCTTGTAGGACGGGTTCGCGGCCTTGAGCTGGGGGAGGAGGTTGAGGATCAGCGTCGTCTTGCCGGAGCCGAGGAAACCGGTGATGATTGTGATGGGGATGGGCGCCATGATTGGCAAAAAGTCGCAGAGTGCGCGCACGTGTACCGAGAAACTCTATAAAGTTGAAGACCGTGAACGACCGGCTGGGCAAATGACAGCTGTTAAGCTTTGGTATAGGTATGGTGTCTGGATTGCATCAGATCACCCTCCAAATTTTTTGGTTGAGGAAAATGGCGCCGCCGCTCGGAAGCGGGTTGTCGCGTGGTGGTGGGATGGAGGGGTCGTAGAACGCCGGTGCAGTGCGATAAGGCACCCGATAAGAACCGATAAGACGTCCCCTTTCGCTGGGGATTTTAAGGTTATCTTAGCGGGCAGCCAAGGGGACTGCAGTGCCGAGCTAGGCGGTTTGACGTCATTGGCCCCAGTTTGCGGGTGGCTCACACCATCTATCATGCATCACATCGACAGCACCCAAGCAAACCAGGCAAGCACGGCAGGCACCAGATCAGCCCGTCCTCCCCGAATCGAATTGAATCGCACACACATCCACCTCAGCTGCGGGTTGGTCTTCGTCCAAGCCTGGAGGAAAAGGTCAGTCCAGTCCAGTCCAGTCCACCCCGCCCAGACCTATGCGATCATAGCCTGGAGCTGGGACGCGCGGTCACCGTCTACCCGCCTCTGCCCAGTCCCCGACTCCTGCTTTCCATTACTGCATTCAGGTTCAGCCCAGCTCCATCCATCCCAGCGGCCCCATTTCCATGAACCCGCGCAGAACCGCTTGCCACGTTTGGTTTCTGACCTACCTTACCGTATTACTTGAAGTAACCCCCTTCCCCAGCTCCCCCAGCCCTGTCGGGCTATTTCCTCCTTCCATCTTACCTTCTAGTCTATCAATGCCTGCTGCTCCGCCACACTCGAGAAACTCAATTTGACTTCACAAGAAACGCAGTACCTATCCATTATCGCCCTACGTATCTACCTACTGTCACTATCGTCTTTCGTCGCCCATTTCATATCACATTGACCCACCGTCTCAACCCTACGACCTTGACGACACACCATCACCGCATCCGAACCCCTTCCCTCTGCCACCCGACACCAACTATCTCAGCCGCAGCACCAGCCACTCATCATGTCAGCTGAGCCCAACAGCAAGTTTGCGCCTGAGCCTCAGATCACGCATAAAGGCCGCGAGTTGAGCTTCAAGCAGAAGTTAGACCAGGCCGCCCACGACGTCCGTAAATCCGAAGAAGAGCCCAAGCAGAACCCTATTGTCGAGAAAGGTTGGTAAAAGCATCATACCCATTCCGCCTTGCCATCCGCCTTGCCATCCGCCTTGCCATCCGCCTTGCCATCATGTCAATACATCATAACTATACCGTCACTTCAGTTTCATAGACCTTCGCGTTTGCACTATACAACAACCCAGATAGTCCCGTCCTGTCCTGCCCTGCCCTGCTCTGCCCTGCCCTGCACTGCCTTACCGATTCAAGCCCCCCCCTTTCCTTTTCCTCAAACTTGTCTAGATACGTGTAGCTCATCAAGGACATTCCACAAAAAAAGTGACACAGTACATTCCAGCCGCCGCCAAGATCCTCGGAAACCCGCAGGAAGAAAAGGAGGAAAAGATTTCGCGTCCTGGAATTCCGGGACCGCCCGAACGGCCGTACGACGACGTCCAGGTGGAGGAGTTTATCCGCCAGCAGCACCGTAGCAAGGGGGAAGACGGTATTCTCCAATGAAGTTTTGACGAAACAGGAGCGCGACCAAGGAAAGAAGAATAGCGCCATTCATTCCTAACCCCCCTATACTGCATCTCCTAGAAGACCAAGGGAAAACAAGCACCAGAGAGGCCTGGAGAACAAGTTTTTTTGATTGAATTAGCGGCGTTTTTGCTTTGATTATTCAAATCATCATCTCGGTTTTTATGAGCCTTCACGACGAAATGAAGCTGGCTTAAGTTTGCACTCGCCTTCTTTTTTTCTCCCCTCCCACACCTACCCCTCGCAACGTCATCCCATAGCGCGATTCTGTCAACGGGCTTGGCGGTGATCAAAGCGCGGGGAAACCAACTAGCATCCAACCTCACATCATGAGCAACGACTCCAACACCCTCCTTATCCTCTCAGCACTCAAGCATTCGTCAAAGGGGAAAAGGAAGCACATGGTATGTGTGAGTGAGAGGCCATAGCAAAGACACCCTCAAAGAAAACCTGTATTCGTACTTCAATCTAAAAAAACAATAACGTTATTGATTCAAAATAATATCGCAACACCTTTGGGCCCTTTGTCCACCTATGTCAACTCCGCTGTGGGCAGCAGTAGCCCACAAATGCCGCCAATTAGTAAATAAAAACGACATGTTTCTTTCATGTTTGAAAAAGTTCGAAACTCCCGGGAATTATAGCCAAAGATTAAGACAGAACAAGGATCCAAATAACCGCATTTTTCCAATGAACCCTTCTCCCGTCAACCTTTTTCTTTTCCCCTTTTTTTGATCTTTCGGCGCGAGCACACGGCGTTATGGAGATGCATGATGGGAATGGAAAAGAATTAGCGAGTCGATTTAAGCAAAGATGGTAAGGCCGGCAGCCATTGCGATACCGCAAAGGAGACCGAGGCTCTTCTTGAGAGACGGCGCGGAGGCAACCTGGACTGTGGACGGCTTGGAGCCGGAAGCACCACCGGTAGCGGTCGAGCCAGATGCACCACCGCCGGAGCCGGGAGCGCCAGACTGGCCAGGGGCACCGCCAGCGCCTCCAGCACCACCGGAAGAGCCTCCAGTGCCGGGAGCACCGGATGCGCCAGGGGCTCCAGGAGCGCCGGACTGAGCGGGGGTTCCACCGGGGGCACCACCGGCACCGGGAGCGCCGCCAGCGCCAGGGGAACCGGACTGACCGGGTTGAGCAGGGGAGCCACCACCAGGCGCAGCGTTGTTGTAAGAGCCGTAGCTGCCGTAGACGCCGTAGCTTCCAGCGCCCTGGCTGCCAGAGGGAGCAGCGCCGTTGGAGCCACCACCGTTTCCTCCAGCACCACCGCCGGGGGAAGAGCCGCCAGGGGTAGAGCCGCCATTGTTGGAGCCGCCATTGTTGGAGCCGCCATTGTTGGAGCCGCCATTGTTGGAGCCGCCATTGTTGGAGCCGCCATTGTTGGAGCCGCCGTTGTTGGAGCCGCCGTTGTTGGAGCCACCGCCGGGCTGGCCGCCTCCGTTGTTGTTGTTGTTGTTGTTGTTGTTGTTGTTGTTGTTGTTGTTGTTGTTGTTGTTGTTGTTGTTGTTGTTGTTGTTGTTGTTGTTGTTGTTGTTGTTGTTGTTGGCGCCGCCTCCGTTGCCGGTACCCTGGCCGTTACCGTTGCTGTAGGAGCCGTAGGATCCGTAGACGCCGTAGGGGGCGGCGGTGATGACGGGGTTGGAGTCGGCGGTAACACCGTCGCCGTTGATCACGACGTCGGCGGTCGGGGTCGGGATGGGGCAGATGATGGGAATGGTCTTTTGGGCGCAGGGCTCGCAGAAGACGGTGGTGGGGGCGAAGCAAGGGGGGATCTCCTTGGTCACGTACTCCCAGGGCTGGCCGGTGCAGACCTCGGTGACGGTGTAAGTGGCCATCCATGAGGTGGAGGGGTTGGCTGCGAGGGCCGTTGTGGTGTACACGGTGGTGTAGACATTGGTGGTCGCGGTGGCGGTGACCGTGGCCGCCGGGTCGCAGGTGAAGAAGGCCGAGGTGGTAAGAGCTCCGGAACTGGGGTGTATGTCAGCGAGTCTGTTTAACACGAGAGGTGATGATGATGTATCAAAAAAGGGGATGGTGTTCTCACCTCATCTTGACTGTTGTTTAGTACTAGCTTGGGGGAGAGTTGATTAGGCGTTTATGGATTTGAGGGTTTGGAATTAGTTGTATTGGGCGAGCGAAAGGATTAGATTGAGCTGTACGGAACGAGCGACAGACAGGTTATCCTGGAATTACGGAACGAATGTGAGGGGACAGAGTCCAACGAATGACTGGGTGAGCGAGAGTTCGTCTGGGGGCGGAAGACCGGGGGAACGGGGGGGAGGAGAGAGAGAACTGGGGAACGAAAGGGCTAATCCAAGAGTTTGCTTCATCACGGCCGGCCTCTTCGTCTTATAGGGAGAGACCAGCAACAGTCAGGAGCACGGCAAAAGGCGAGCCAAGAACCAAGAAGGGGGTTAGCTGGAACACACGCACACACACAAGCCCGGCCCCTGGGTACGTTGTTCCCCCCCGACTGGCTGTATGAAAGCAAGCATCTGGTGGGAATGATGGGACATTGCGGCACATTCCTCAGAGCCCGGGTCCGGACGACGATGGTCCCCTTGGGAGGAGCCGTTGACATCAGACATGTCCTCTCCAACCTGTGTGAGTAGGGAAAGCATGCGGTAATGTCCACCTTGGAGGGCCGGAGTGGATGCTAGAGGTGGTGCGGCTGATCCGAGAAGTCGGATTGAGGAGAACCATCTTCCAATCCTTCGTGTAGCTTGATTGCCAGAGGTGGGGATACTATCACCAGCTTGGCAACGACGACGGACGAAAAGAGGCAAGGGCACATATCCTGTATGCCGGGATCAGAGACTCGGACGGGTGCCGGGGCGTTGACGCGCAGCAGCATTGCTCGGGGAGCATGGCCAAGAATGCAGCCAGGGGCCAAGACATGTGGCATGGTTACACCTCAACGGAGGGAAAAGAGTGAATGAGGAGGAGAAGAGAAAGACGGGCCCATGGAAACGCTTTCAACCGTCTTGTCGTCTGCCAGGACTCCGGGAGGTTCAAAACCAAGACACGTGCAGATTCGGGACTAACAGTCTAGAACCCAAACCGCTTTTTTTTTATCGTGTGCCTGGATCTTTTCCCCCTTGTACCTGAGGCTGTCACGCCCATGTCTCGTCCTACTGGGATTTTGATCGACCCTCACGGCAACACTGAGGCGGCGGCATTGGGAATGGAAGGAACCAGGAGGGACGGAGACTCCCTTACGGAAGGAACTCTTGCACCAGCGGACCCATCTTTTCTTTGCTTCGTGGTTCGCTGAAGAGTGAAGACGGTGTTGACACTTGACAGACACTTCACTGCACCCTTCTCTTGCCTTAATCCTCTTCAGCCCCAAAATGACGAGAGATGCCATTGGCATGCTCTCTGCCTTCCACCACTTTCAGACGGAGTCAGAATTCAACTGCGGCACGTAGGGAATGGCATTGAACCAGTCCAGCCAACCGGCATGGCGTCAACTTGGACAGGGATGAGGCTCGGTACATTCTCCCATCACTTGCCGGCGCCGTTCCTGGACCCAAGGTTCCTTGGGAGCGAAGGTCGAGGTAGCGAATCAGTACGTCAGGTTCAGGAAAGTAGGTACCTCCTCAAAAACCTCAAAATTCTTTGCAAACGGAACCCGGAAAATGAGCGCTATCCGGGTTACTGGCACCACAGGTCTCACTATTTCAATGGTAGTGTCCTCCGTCGCCTCAACGAGCGGGCGACAAAGGCAAAAAATACGCAAGCACGACTCATGCCTGTTTCGAGAATTTGGCATGTCCCCCATCAACAGCATCCCTCACCCACCGCCCGTGAAATGGGCCTGGGGAGAGACTTCCTATAATCCAGGGAATTTTAATCTGCAGAGCGATCCAACTCCGAAGAGAGGAAAAGGCAACGCGACACCGTGAGAAAAGACTGGGTGTAGGTCGTGGCAGCTCTGGGTTACTTTTTGATCTAAGGAAAAAAAAGAAGAAGAAAGAGAAAAAGATTTTTGGCAGCGAGCCGCCCTTTTGAAGCTGCTGGAATTTGGCGCTAGGCCGTCTTGGGTCTGACCCATCACTCCTACCGTGCAAGACTTCTGCTCTTTCACTGTCCACTGGCACTGTGCGGTACTGCAGAGATTTCTATACAATCCACAGTGCCCACTTCCGATATGTGGAACCGCGCTCTTCAACCTTCACCGTTCCAGTGTTACCAACCGTTCCAGTGTTACCATCACCACGTTGATCACGCATGCTCAGGATAAGATTATCAATTCAGCCCCGTCTAGTCTAACCAGTCAAGGAATTCCATCATGCCAGAGATTTCAGAGAACTCCATTGCCACGCGGAACGACACCGAAAACACCAAAAGCCAAGATTGTTGGACTCCACGGGCTCGACTCGCTGAAGCAGCCTGCCAGCCCTACATTACGAGGGGCTTTCCCCTCTTCCCCTTATCCCAAGCGCCTGAACACCCAAGTATGCATCTACCATTAGCCGGTTTTCATGTCTCTCTTTCTCTCTCTTTTTCTACCAGTTCTTGGTGACCGTCATGGTTCTTGAACCCGCAGCGAAGTCCTTGGCGTAGTCGGTGCCGATATACCGGCCCTTGAACATCCAGATAATGATACTGGGCAGCCTCCACGTGCCCATCTGGCCAGTCGCCCTGCTCCGTCCAATCGTGATGCCGGCCACAACCTTGGGGTCGACAACGTACGGCGCCGGTCTTGGCGCACCCGTGAAATGAGCCTGGATGCTCTTCACCACGTGCTGCACCTGCAAGTCCGCCAGCCGCCCGTACCCGCCCTCGAGGTTACCGACGTCGCCCACCACAAAGATGTTGTCGTGGCCAGTCGCGCGCAGGCTGTTGTCCTGCTTGACATAACCGGGCGGGTCGAGCATGTTGGACGGCAGGAACGCGGTGTTGGGGATGGCGCCGACGGTCGGCAGGTACGCGTCCGTCTGCAGCGTCGTCTTCTTGCCGCTCTTGTCCGTCAGCTCAAGCGTCTTTTGGCCATTGGCATCGGTCTTCACGCTCGTGACCTTTGTGTTGTGGATCGTCTTGACGTTGAGCTTCTGCAGTTCGTTGAGCGCCGCCTTGCGCACACTGTCGGTGAAGGGCGGGCCGAGGGGCAACTCGTCATTGTAGATAAAGTAGACGTCCTTGTTGCGCTTTTGCGAGTACTCAAAGCCGATCTCGCCCACTGTCTCGGTGCCCGTGATGCCGCCGCCGGCGACCACGATGCTCTTGGCGTCGGAAAGCTGTTGGCGAATATCACTGAGCGCCTTCTTGGTCTCCTCCGTCGTGCCGACCTCCTTCCACGGCATGCTCTCCTTGGCGCGAGTGCCGGTTGCGATGACGACGGCGTCGTAGGCGATTGACCTGCGGCTGCCGTCGTTGACCACCACATCGACGGTGTTCTTGTCGTCGTTGAGCTGCTCGGCCTTGCCGATGATGACCTCGTAGCTTTCCTTGGAGTACTTTGCGAACGACGGCTCAATGGGATGGAAGAGCACGTCGTCGCCAAACTGGCCCGGCACGACGCCGCGAACGGAGGCGAGGTTCCAGTAGCTATGAAGCTTGGGTGTAAGTGGATGACGTCTTGCATAGTGTGTGTGTGCTACGCCACCAAAGAGGGAAACTTACTGCTCGGAATTGGGCGTCACCAAGACGACCTTCAGGTCCTTTACCAATGGCACCGTATGCTTCAAGGCATGGTGTGCAATGGGCAGGCCAGCCAGGCCGGCACCAAGAACAACGAGGGTAGGCATTACCGCTTTGCTGTTGACGAATTTGATGCGTTCGTGTGCAAGGTAAGGTAGGGGAAGTTGCGTAAAGAAGCTTCTATAGCTCGAGGAGCTCGGTAGTAGCTAGAAAACAGCGGCAGGTCGTATTAAGGGATTGTCGTCCCCCTTGCAGTTATGCTAGGATGTAGCTCTTCCGAGTTTCTGATTCGTTTCGAAACGTTGGGAAGATGTGTGAGTTGATTGTGGATGAACAAGCCGGGCTGCTACTATCGATGAAGAGAGCGAGGGGCGACAGAATCGCTTTATACAAAACTGGAACGGACTTCAAATGCGTCAACTCAGGAATTAAAGTTGTGTACGATAGGAGAATCGGCCTTCACAATTGCGCCTAGGTTTTTTTGCGTGCAATGGGGCGCCAAGGTGTAGTACGCGGTGTAACTCGGAGACATTTCTGCTCCGTTTTGGTGTAGAGCACCCGACTCATCGACAGGGCCCTCCCGGAAAGTGTTAAGCTCTCAACCCCGGACGGACACTCCAAGACGGGAAGGAACCACTACCTCAGATAGAGATCTAGGTAGACAGTTACACTAGATTGCTCATTGTGGATTTGTGACAAAGCGCATCTTTACGGATTAGCCGCTCGGGGCGGATACAGTTATTAGTCAGGTAAGAGGACTTCAATCTATTTTACCTGTAAACTAGGCGCGAGAAAAATAGGTGCAAGTGACTCATGCAATGGGGGAGAAAACATCCGCTTGCGTGATTTGCAAGGGAGCAATGGCAGTAAATGGGCCAGACAAAGACATTTGAGAATTGGGCAGCACACTTGCAAGGGAAAGCTATGTTTGAGAGTGCGAGCATGCGAGCACGCGCGCGGGTGCGGAGCGGACTTTTTTTTGCAGTCACAAAAAGGTACTACCAACCGCGCAAGATTGAAAAGCAGGCGCCGTCATGACTAAGAATCCGCACGAGGGCAAGTCGTGACGATTCTCTCAGGAAGGAAGGGCGTGGCGAGGTCACATGATTGAGCATGTGATACCGGAGCTGACCAACAACCCGGGCCCGTGCAGATGAAAGCCCCTAGTCAGAATCTCGGGGGACTGGACCCAAATCCCTCCGGACCGGCCAGGTTCCTCTCCCGACCTGGTTGCGTTCTTATCCCGACCCGGCCACGTTGACCCTCCGGCCTCGTACTTTAATGCCCCGCGTCCCGAACCTTGGCTTCACCTTGCCTTTCTCCAATGTTGTTGTCGGCTCAGTTGATCCGTCATCCGCGCTGTGGTGATGGTTAATCGGCGGGAGATCCAAGTTTGCGCCGAACGACCGGGATTGTTACGGCATCAAGATCCACATGTAGGGATGGGCGACTGGTGGATGAACCACTATCGGGATGTCGGTGCTGAGATCCTTACCACCACAAGGATGAGCTAATCGCAACTACGCGGTAAATAGAACACGATGTG